ATAAGGTAGAAAGTTGCGGAAGGACGCCATCTGGACTCATGGTATTGACAAGGGCGAGGTCAGCACGAGCAGAAGACACAGGGAGAAAAAAAGCTTTGGGTTTTTTGTTTTGTTTTTTTGGGGTGACTCAAACTGGAAAAAACAGTAGAATTCGCAAGGTCGCATAGGTTTGTTATGGGTAAAAAAACTGATGATATTTTTCAGGGGGAAAAAAGCGTTTTGTTCTGAGACTAATGTTTGGGGTCATTTGACAGAGAAGCAGTCCTGCGGAAAAGAACTGTCATGTGTCGTAAATGATGCCAGTGTGTTTCCTGTGCGGTGCTGACCTTGCACAGAGGATTAACCCAGAGAAAACACAAGGGAACACACTGGAACACACGCCAATGCACACGGCCGCAGCGACATAGAGGCCTACGCAACCTTAAAGGGGATGTACTTCACTTGTAATACATAACCTACGGCATCTTCCATTCCATTCAATACATTTTTTTATTCTTTAATATTATTGCACATTTTCTTAACACAACATAGTACGAACAACGCTCTGCATGCGTCTGTGTGAGTGTGTGTGTGAGTGTGTGTGTGAGTGAGTGTGTGTGTATGTGTCTGTGTGAGTGTGTGAGTGTGTATGTGTATGTGTGAGTGAGTGAATGTAAAATAAAAACAGCAGTGTTTGCATCTATCCAGGAATCTCAAATCTCTCATCTGTCCTGAATCCCTAGCCTTGTTTGTATATACGTATATATATATTTTTTATCCATTTTGGGCATCTTTACTTTGAAACTACATATTCAATATCTGTCTTCGATACAAAATCATAATGGAGCCTTTTAAGACACCCAAGGTTGCCATACATTCATGCATACTGTACATCCATTGTCTTCCTCTTAATCCATTTCTGGGTCGGGGGGTGGCAGTCAGAGCTGCACCCAGTACACAGAGCACCAGCCCCTCACTGATCCTCCTGCAGGTGGTGAGTCCACAGGAGCGGAGATCTTTCAGCGGGAGCTTCAGGTAAAGTGGGGTTAAGTGTCTTGCCCACGACACTTTTTTAGGTGTCAAACCCCACTGGATTTGACACCTAAACTTTTGACATGGGCCATGGGTCACTGCAAATACTGAGGGGTGGAATCTAGAGATGATTGTAACTTTAATGTGGGTTTATTCCTAATTGAAATGAATGTAATGGATGTCCAAAGTTTTATTTCTGTTGAGATTTCAAATTGTGGTTCCCAGGCTTCATTATCCAACCAGAGAGCAGAGTTTACATCATGTGACCGTCTGCTGAAAAATGCCAGTATTCTAAGACAAAGCTTCTCAGTGCGTCATTTCAGTCCCAGGGAAACTTTATGTCAACCAATTATGGCAAAAATACTTATTAGACATTGTACGCTTTTTTGGTGTTTTTTACTGTACATCTCTCCACAAAAACGAATTCATCCACTTGCAAGAAAGTTTCTCTCAGCAGGGACAGAATGATCAGAAGATGCACTAACTCTGGATTAGTGGGTCCGGTCAGGTAATGTTCTCCCTAATTAGTAGGTAATACATTTCTTTTTTTTTTTTCATTTACATCCCTTTATTTTCCATTTCTGGGTCAGGGGGGTGGCAATCAGAACTGCCACCCAATTCACACAGCACCAGTCCCTTGCTGATCTTTCTGCAGGTGGTGGGTCCACGGGAAGATGGCTGCTCCTTCGATACAGATGCAGCCTTGGTCTTTCAGCGGGGACTTCAGGCACATTGGGGTTAAGTGTCTTGCCCAGGGACACAACGACAGCAGACATCAGTGGGAGCAGTTGACATGGGTCGTAGTGGGATCGAACCCACGACCATTAGGTCCAAAGACCATTGCTCTACCAACTGAGCTACTGTCGCCCCAGGTAATACATTTTTTGTTTAAATGTTTTGTCTTTGTTTGTAAACTGTTGTTCTTGACTCAATTAAAAAAAAAAACTAAAAACTAAACTCTGGTTAACTTGGAACTGAAGTGTGAACAAAAGTGTGTCCATGAACCAGTTTCTGTAAGCAACACCACGCAACCTTCTTGATATCCAGGGATATACAGGTAAAAGACTATGCCAGACCAGAACAACTGTATAAACTGTAATATTACATGTATTATCCTCAGTATAGGAAAAGACAGCGATGGCTTTTTATTACAATTAAAATGAGAAAAAGATTGAGGTTCCGATAATGGATTACTATTGTAATGTTTTCTGGGTCAGCGGGGTGGCAATCAGAGCTGCCACCCGATGCTCATTGCACCAGTCCCTTGCTGATCCTCCGTCTTGCCCATGGACGCAACGACAGCAGACATGAGTGTGAGCAGTTTGAGTTGATCTCGTGGGGGGGATCAAACCCACGACCTTCCGCCCCAAAGGCCAATACTCTAGTAAGTAAGTTAGTAAGTTTTTATTTATATACCGCCTTTTCACTGCAGATCTGAGTCTCAAAGCGGTTTACAATTGTTAATTTTGGGCATTTGTCTCTCACTCCACACAGAGATGGGAGCAGGGTCGCCAGTACAGGAGGCGCATGCCAGAACTATTGGACATATTTTTAGTGGTAGGGGAAACCGGAGTACCCGGAGGAAACCTACGCAGACACGGGGAGAACATGCAAACTCCACTCAGAAAGGCCCTGGTCCGACCGGGATTCGAACCCAGGACCTTCTCGCTGAGAGGCGAGAGTGCTATCCACTCAGCCACCGTGCCACTCTACCAACTGAGCCCCTGTCGTCCCCCCATATATATGAACACATTGGTTCGAAATTCTGTCCGGTTATAACCTCAACCCATAGCACTGACACAATGTGGACCAACCACCAATTTACCACTAAAAACATGCGAGCAGCCAAACACCATTAAATAAACGCGGCTTGTTTGCGTTTTTATCGTTTCTACCCATATTTCTGAGCAGATCTAACAGGAAGAGGGTCACAGTGCAGTGCTATTGAAATGCACATATACACCACAAGCCCCGCTGCATCCTCCCACTCAAAATCCAACCTCCTTCCACACAGACATCCGCGTTTGTGCATTTTACATGAGTGGATCTGCAGTTGGTACGTACTACATCCGCAAACCCCATGCCGTACGTGTATCAGATCTGGGAGCAGTCTCCATGTTGCCATGAGAGGAGAGAACTCGGCCCTTATCTCCAGCGCGCCGCGTTTAAGGAATCTCTGAGCGTAGCATATTCCAGTAACGATTGACCCTCGGCTCCCAGCATTGACGAAACCCGTGTTGCTTTAAATGCCTGTTACCATGGAAACAGGCAGCCGGCAACCCAGGTCTGGCTTTTCATCCGCGCACACAAACACACACACAGAGACACACTAACGCGCACACACACAAGCGCGCGCACGTACACAATGCTGCATTCCCTGTCGCTTCTGTCACTTTCTCGCGTCGCATCCGCACCGCTCCGAAAGCCGGCATTTACCCAATTTTCCGCGCACTCCCGCCCCTCTCCTCCCCCTTTCATCTTGTACCTCCATTTTCGTTCATTCATGTCACTCGCCCTCCCCTCCGCCTCCCCTCCCTCGGCCGCTACCTCCGTTCATTCAGAGTGACGTTTTTACCTCTCTAAATTCATTCATGTCAACCTTGGCGCGGCGCTGTCACATCTCTGTCTTTTCATCACTCGCTCGGCTTGTCGTGCCTTTTTCTCCCTGATCGGTTCATCCGTCTTTGTCCGACATTCCCTGCCCTTTGCCGACTCCCGCTTCTAGGTGAGAGGATCATTGGTGTTGTAAACGAACTGGTGTTAATCAAGTAGGGAACGCCATTAATAATTTGTGATAATTGATCGACGTTTTCATTTTGGCTCCTGTGTGTGTGTGTGTGTGCGTGTTTCTGTGTGTGTGTCTGATGGACTATCAGAATCACTGTGGGCTTTTAAAGCTGGGCAGGTGGAGGGACTTGTAGCTTTGATAATTACCCTTTTTATCTTTGTAGCATCTATTGCACCCATTTCCAAAAAAATAATGGGAAGAAATCAAAAAAGCAGATTGAGCAGCAGTCTAGGATTGCACCTTTAAATTTGGCATAAAATTGAGACCAGTGCAGAGTTCTAAGAAAGATTTCCTATCTAACAAGGCGAGGCAAGATTATTTGTATAGCACAATTCATACACAGGGTAACGTAAAGTGTAACAGAGACATTATTTGGATGAAAATATTCCAATAATATACTGTACAAAAAAGGATATATACAAACTTCCAGACACACTCAATTAAGGAAACAACATATTTGAATCCCCAAATATCACAGAGACCAAGCTCTCTCTAGTAGCACAGTATACATCATAAACATGTTAGAACATCAATCAGAGGAAACTAAACTAATTCCATGGATCAATAATGTTTGGATTAAATCTGGTCAGAGCTGAAGTAGAACAGACTGAGCGTTCTACTTCAGCTCTGACCAGACCGTACTTGTGCACTTGGGCAAGACTCAGCAGACTCCTTCCTGCCCCATTGACTGTAGATCAGGGGTCTCCAACCTGTAGCTAGGGAGCCAACTGTAGCTCACCATCCCCTTCAAGGTCAGCTCGCCAAAGTATTTAGAAATGAATAAAATCAATGAATGTGTTTTATATTTCAAATTGTGTCTTTCATAATGATTATTTATTATTGTAAATTCTCTTACTTTATGCACTAGTAACAAAGATGTGATGATAAATAATAACTGTTCCCAATATCAGGCTTGTTAATTCACCAAATCTTTCCCATGGCAGCTTAAAGGAGTAGCTCTCTGCCTTTATTATCCCGGGAAAGAAGCTCTCTGGGTGAAAAAGGTTGGAGACACCTGCTGTAGACGGATGGACAATGCAAACCCCACAGCTCAATGAAGCCCAACTCTGGCTCCTTTTGACTTGTAACTGTTTTTGTCACACTCACCATTTTGGGCTTGAACAAATCATGGTATAGCGCTTTCCACTCCTACAAAACAAACAGGCTATAACCAGGTGCGGAGGTACTATGGGGGTCTTACCTTTCCGAAGCTCCCTTTCCCCAGCACCATCAGGAAGTTGAAGTCAGCCAGCTTCACTCGGTCTTGGTTGCCGTTGGAGTCAAACCGGGACGCCGCGTTGACCGCCTTTCCTTCTGCGTTCTTACCAGGCCCAATTTTAGCTCTCTGGATTTGAAAACAAGATAATAAAATTAATCAAAACACAAATAAAAGAAGGAGGAATAGATTACATTTATTGAAATCCACTTTCTTGACTCTGGTCTCTAAATAACATAGCCTCCTATACCACTCTCTTCATTCTCACCGTATATCTCTACACTCAGTCTCTCATTCAATTCTCCAGCCCCAACTTTATAAGGCTTCGCACTTTTCTACAGTTCCGGCTAAATATAATAAAACCGGAGGAGGTCGCAGTTGTCATTACTTCATGTCAGTCACTTACGCTTTTCCATCGTCCATCTCCCATTGTAACTCAATTTAATCATCTCTCCTTCTCCTTTCTCCGTCGTTCCTACCTTTGTCATAAAAACAGAGCGCTCCTCGTTCCGCCGTTACCGTGACCTCAGAGGAGAGCACTTGGGCATTCGCACAAAGGAACACGGCGGTTAAATAGGACCGTATATTTTTGTATAAATCTTTTCTTGCTGATCCAAGCTAATGCACTGTGGCCACTTGTAATTGCTCCTGTTCTTTACGTTTGGACAGAGCGAGGCGTCCCTTTAGTGGTGTTTGTGTGTGATCCAGGGCTCTTCAATGGAAAATCTTTCTCCCGCCCAAAATTGAGCTTTTATGGAGTGATTCAAAATGGCCGTGGTTTTTTCACATTTTGGCCAAAATGTGAAAAAACGCATCTGTGCATGTGTCAGCCGGCACGAGCCCCATTCATTTAAACAAGTGACTTAAAAAATTTACAGCGAGTAAACTAGAGTGGTCCAAAAAAAAATTCACCCCCCTCAGCATTGACACACATGTGGAACGGAGCTTTGGGCCAAGAGCCAACTTTTGGACCATCCTGTAAAGATTGATTGATTGTAAGAAGATGCTATATGTTAGCATTGGCTAATTCTTATTCCGGGTCCATCCCAATCGGCCCGGGGTGGTATTGCAGCATGTCAGCGCACGTCATTTTGGCCACTTTTGAGCCGGGACCTGCCCCCACTGCTCCCCACACATAGTGATGACACGACACTCGTAACAGTCAGGCCTGTTGTACATGCTTTTGGTGGTACTCTCTGTTTCAATAAAGCTGTCAATGTAAACTACAATGGACTGCCCTTAACCCTCGTGATATCCTTCCTGTAAAACATGATTAAAAGTAGAATAGAATCAAAAGTTAGTGAAAAACATTAAAATTCAGCTAGAAAAAAACAAAATTAGGGTCTTTTTTAATCACTGTGGCAGGTCAATGAGCTGTCGGCCTACATGTGTGCGAGCATAGGCAATGAATGAACGTATTAATTGCATGATCTTATTCATATTCCATCTCATATCCATCATAAAGTACACACCATCAGTCACTGCCACTTCGCTCACTGTGTTTCAAGTGGCCTTTCATGTGCTGCTGCTCCCTTTGCTTTAAAAATCACTCTTTGGCAACCGTTTTGGAATTGACGGATGGCTTCTGATTAGCACCAAACCAGTGAAATATGTTGGTGTCTTCCCGCAAACGCCACTCCAGAGGAATACGGCTAAATTACCTCTGGGCGGGAGAATAAAGCGGCGGAAGCCGAAGTCCATTGGAGAGCATGCGGCCTGTGCCAAGTGTGCTAATGAGTGTCCTCGTGGTCGCACACGCAGGCAGGACACGTGTGGACCGGTGCGGTGCCAGACAGCTCCTGCCAACTGCTAACAGCTCTCCCCGAGTGGCCCTCACACTTAGCACATTTACATACGCTTTCACACTCCACGCACTCAGCAGCACACACGGACCATGCACGCAGTATAATATATATATATATATATATATATATATATCTAGATATAACGGCTGTAATCCAGAATATATTCACTCATTACCGACATCAGACCATTGTTACATAAAACAAGTTTGAGTCATGTGTGTAGATGTATGTAAAAACCGATGGACTATAATACGTTTTCTGAGGCAGTTTATCTCAAAGTTTGACTAATACTAATACGGTAGTTAAAATATTCGTTATTTCATTATAATAACCCACAGTAAGTGAAATCTGCGAATTTGCAGCAACAGTATATGTTTTAAGGCTGTAAAAGCCCTTACCACACACTTTATACACTTTTTTATCTATCATCTGAACTCATGTTTGTTGAAGTGCGATCACGGAGAAAGCAAAACCAGTTTGTTGTAAGTCTGAGCACTGCTGCAACTGTCAAAAGCCGTGCATACACTGTGAAATACAGCTTGCAGAGGACACTGCACTTAGGGGCAGCAGCAGGACTGAGGGCTACGGGGAGACCGCGATACTCTGAATTAATCTCTTTGGACAGTAACTGTCATGTTATACTAGTGGTTAAATGATGGTGTTGGAGTATATACACGGCACATGAGAAGCACACTGTACGCTACTGTAAAAAAGAAAATAAAGAAAAAGAATTTTCTTAAAAAATGAGTGAACTAACCAGAAAAAGATGTCACTGCATGGCAATATCAATAAAAGGACTCCCATTGTTTTCTATAACATTATATCATCCTAATGGAATGCAGTGAATGAAGACCACATGAGGCTCTTTATATAAAAACTAGTGAGTCTCGTACCTCAAATTTCTGCCGGAACTCCTCGTTGGCCTCTTCGCCCTCAGGAGCCACTGGCACGTTGAAATACTCGCCCTCTTCCTGGGACAGCATCTTGAACCTGGAGACACGGACAATATTCACTGCTTAATCAATCCGCAGCGAGCTCATACAGTTAAACTCGGGCCATTAGCTCGATAAAGGCAGCAGTTACAGCAACAATTTCCAGTCATAAAGAATAACCATTATCAACTAATGTACTCCTCCTGTGGTGATACAGTCCGGCTTGGCAGAGGAGGGCCGAGATCTCAGCCTTTGGAGCTTCTTTTGCATAATCAATACTGTATACTGCAATTTGTTTTCATACAAACTACATGCCAGATGCCGTCAACTGAAAAATGCCAAGTTAGCAAACTACAAAGTAAAGCAATTCTTTCTATAGGTCATACAGAATGAAGCGTGTCCTGCCCTGGACATTAGATAGACTTTAAACTCGTTGCCCTCCCAGCCTGATACGGTTTATTCGGCCTGAATCGTATTGAATCATTTTCAATACGATACAGCTCCAGGTTCTGTGAAAACTCCCGCCCTCCTATGTTTGTCATTGGTCGGCTTCAGCTGTCTATCAAACGCATGAAATATGGTCTGTGGTTGGCTGGCTGCGGTGCATTCAACAGCAATCGTAATTTTTTTTATTGCGAGCTGTACATTCAGGGCGAGCATGGGGGAAATCTGTTATTCAATACTAATACTGTTCATATATTGATAATAAACAATAATGTTTATTTCTTCATCTTGCATCTTTCAGACCAATTATTAGTATTAGTATATGTTTTTGCGTCTTAGGCATACCAGTGATTTTTTAGTAAATGAAAAAAGGGTTTGCTTCATCTCGGCCTGTTTGTGCATTTAGGATAGATATACATGGGGTCAAGGCATATAGTCAGAGAAGTAACGACGTAAGCAAGGAATTAGTATTTATAAAAGTGTTTTTCACAGGCCGAGCGCACAGAAAGCGCTTTACAATTCTGGTGTTTCTAATTTTCTCCGTTCATTTCTATTAACACCAAACACAGCGGTTGCAGGAGCGAGACGTCGAAACCCTGGCGCACTGGACCCTCTGACCCTCACTCACTTGTTACAGTGATTCCTGTTTTACATGTTTTCAGTGGTAGGGAAACCGGAGCACCTGGAGGAAAAAGCTACACACAATCCACACAGAAAAGCCCCGTCTGGAGAGGGAATCAAACCCAAGACCTTCTCGCAGCTGTATGTTTTAAGGCTGTAAAACCCCTCACCACACACTTCATACACTTTTCCATCAACCTGAACTCACTACCGCTGAAGTGAGATCGCGGAGATAGCAAGTGCTGCTGCAGCTGTCAAAAGCCGTGCATGCACTGTAAAATACAGAGGGAGGGAAGACCGTCCTGTGAACTAATCCCCGTGGTGCATACAAGCCCCAAAAGTTTTCTTCTGACTTCAAATAAAGGTAAGTTGTCATGTTATACTAGTGGTTATATGATTTTGGAGTACACATAAATACAAAAAAAGCATACAAAATACAAAAACACACAAACATCAGTGAAACAGTGAGGACGAGGAAGGTGAACTGCGGTACAGCGAGGGACCACTGTAATGAACGAATCAATAAACTGCCTGCCTAAACCAAGACATTATTATTATTATTATTATTATTTAACTACAACCCTAAAACATTCCACAACAACACTAAAGATGTCCACCTCTGACTACACAACAACACATCTGCTTTCTCGAGTCTGGAATTATTTTTTGGTCTAGCTTGAGTTCATAATGGCCCTTTTCCACCCCAGACACCGGCATCTCATTAAAAGCTTGACAGGGCAACGTCAGCAAAAAGACAGCGCGAGGCGAAGATAGGCCCGCGTGCTTTGTGATTAGAGCGAGAAGAAGAGGAGCTCGCAGATAAAGAAGCAAAGATTATGAAAAGAAAAAAAAAAAAAAAACAACATTTGCTTTGGCATCAAATCTGAAATGTTTTCCAGCGCAGTAATGAACAAGGTCACCTCCAGCCTCCTGTTTGCTTCTCTCTCCCTCATTTCACATTTGGCACGAGGCTCTTCTGAAGCCGGGTTGCCATGTATGCATGTCGTGTTTCTCACCATCCGTCCACGCCTTGCTTGTGCAGCTCGGAGATGCCGAACGACAGCGAGCCCATGAAGTCGTTGCGGCTGGTCAGGTCCCAGTCCCACACCTCCACGGACAGGCGCCGGTCCTTGTCGTGTTCTTTCAGATGGCTGTCGGACAAAACAACGGAAGAATAAGTGGGACATACATGAAGGAATACACATTTTACCTCAGGCTGTATGAACAGCAGTTCTAGGGTTATTAGGAGCTACTTTTGTCAAGTGCCTCGTACCCCGCGGTTTACATCAAAGATTCAGGCCCATGGAGTCTTCTCAGTTCGGCTCTAATCAGATTCATTCACAATAAGGAAAACTTTAGGGGTGATGTCAGCACTCGGTCAGCAATTCTTTTCCAGGATGTCCACATAATCAGTTTCCAAGTTTCTCATGACCTTCAATGAGAGCGGAATGATTTTGGTAAAAAATAACAGATGGATTTTTAAAATGCATAATTTGCACCTGGCGCATCAGGAGGATTACTATACTCACTAGTGCAGTGTTTTTCAACCAGTGGGCCATAAGATGTTTGGTGTGCCTTTGGACATGATCCAAGATGACCTCATTGGTCAAAATAATGTCAAAAGAAAACAATGTGGGAAGATTTATTACTATTGTTTATTCTGGTCATATTCTCTGCTGCTGAAGTACAATACTGTATATACGTCTGTAAATACAAGTATAAGTGCAAATATAGCTCCAGAGTTTTATTTCATTCCATTTTGTTATCTTATCACTTTTTAATTGTATTATCCATTATCTTAAATAATAGATCCTGTTTGAGGTGTGCAATCTGAGTGCACTGTCCTACTTTTTATTCTGCTGTAATACAAACAAATACATTTACATTTCCCCAATGTGGGACAAATAAAGGCGTATTTTTTTTTGAAATAGGACTATTTTGCGATTGCTTAATTTTCTATAAAATACACTTTGATGAGAATGACTTTGCATTGTTCATGAAGGCTGCAAAGTTTGTTTGGATCAGTTTGAGCCGGTGGTGAGCTCTGTGATTGTGTTCAATGACAAAGATTTGCCAAAAAGGTGAGTCTCTGGGCTCAAACAGGTCTGGGACCACTGCACTAGAGGTGTCAACATCACACTCACTACAGCAGCCAGCAACAAGATGGGGACCAAAAATTAATGTGTGTCCTTATATTTACTAATCAAAATAATTATAAATATCCTAAAGAGAAGGTACAGAACTGAAAACTAAAACTGGCTGCAAAGAACCAGAGCAAAGTGTGCGTGGGAAATCCTCCTGCTGTAAACCATTATTACTCACAGCACCTTAGAAAACCTTAGAACTTTTTTTATGACATTCTTCTCCCATTGAGAAGATAACGCATTGTATTAGACAAGATTTCTTCATATTCATTTTATTTCTGCCATGACGCAAAACGTCTTAGTCGTCATAAGGCACTAGTTCAAACCGTGCTTTCAATATTAACTGGTTGTTATGGAAGAAAACGTTATTCAAGAATTGAGTAGGCAGAATCTTAAATGTTTGCAGAACCGTCATCATGTATTTCATTCAGTTAATTATAAGTATCGTGCAAACAAGCAATAATACAGTACATTACACGCACAGTGAGACACATCAAGCCACAATCATTTAACTTATGCTAAAGGCTCGGCATAAGTCACTTTGTATGTAATGAGTCTATAATATTGGCTTCACATTGGAAGTTGAATTACAGAAATACATTTACTTTGAGTTGTTGCTTGCCGATGTTGGACGGTCTAAGGACAGTGATGATGATCCAGGACATTTATGGACATTGGTCATCTGCCCTTTATGGACCAATGGCTTTAAGAGTTTTTTATTCTTGCATTTCCTGTGTTTGAACACTTTGATTTTCTGATTTGTGTTGGCGAATCGACAACTTTGTTAGGTCCTCCGAGATAAATACTATTGTAATTTAGGGATTTAGGGCCATACATAAATAAAACTGAATTTCATTGACTTGAATGATATCCTAATATTTCACCTGTATAATGGGTCATTGGTTTACGTGGTTAGAGTCCATAAACGTGCAAATAAGTCATCTTTATTGTTGTGGGAAATTGTTGTCTATGTTTTTAGTGGAAGTTTAAACCAGAGCACTCAGAGGAAACCTACGCAGACACAGGGAGAATATGCAAACTCCACACACAGAGGCCCTAAAAGCAGCAGCAGTCATAGTGGATTATTTTTCCCCCAACACCTCTCCCTCCTGTACCCTAATGCCAGACAGCTTTGAGGCCAGTGATTTCCCACTTCAACATTCAGACATTCAGAGAGCACATGCTAATTAATTGCTATTATTGCTTAACTTGTTCGTACAGCAATAACTGTTGCTACAAATATGTCACAACTTATTTTGTACGTTATAATCAAATCTAAAAACCATAAATTACTAATACTGCTCCACTTTCATTGATAAACAAAACAATAACGAACGTCAGACAATGGAACCTTCATTATCAATCATTAAACTCAAAGAATATTATGATTAACATTTTCAACATGAACTATAACAACACTGGGTCATCTCATGGTCAGCGAGGATTCTTTAAGTAAACTATACCTTTGATTAATACGGTTTAAATCTCATGTTAAATTACAGGTTCCATATCCCTCCGCCTGAGGGGTAACCATAGCAACACACAACATAGAGCACTAGCAGTTAACCCAGAGTTTCATTATAAAGTTACTTTGAAAGCTCTTTTACTGTATACATCAGGATGTTGCTAAAGGTGGCTAAATATGTATTGTTTTGTAAAATGTTTAATGTAGGAGAACTCGTAAGTGCGTGTTCATTTTGGTCATGACAACTGTTGCTGGTTCTTGGCTCCTAAAGTACTACTCCCTTATCTCAAAATTGGTCTGTTTTGTGTGAATGGTATGATATTGTATTGTGTATTTTACTGAGCGAATATGGCTCGGTAAACGTACAAATGCAACTTTAAGTCAAAAAACACATATTGTCAGTGAAGCTGCAGTACTATGGTAACTTGAGCACTATCCTCTCCTCTTTCAGACTTTATTTTTCATCATTATGGCTTCAGCTGTTGTCTTTTCATTGCTATTCACCCGCTGTCCCATTGTCTGTTTAATGGCATAATGATGGGACCCCTGAATCCGTTCTCTTTGACTTCAGAACCGGTCGCTATCACCTCAGATTCATAGCTGCACTTCCTCTTCCTGCCTATAGAAGCCTCTTCCGTCTTGCACCACACGGCCTCAGACCTCGTTCTACAGCCTGAGTCCTGGAGCTGTAGCTTGTCCATCTGAGGTTGCGGATCCTTCTCCCATCTTTCCCCACTGTTTTTTTGTTTGTTTGAGTTGACCCTCCTTTCTGATGCAGGAGGGTCTATAAGAAAAGTGATCAGGGACATTTATTAACATTAATGTACATTGGTTATCCCGCTTCCTATGGACCAATGGCTTTTATGTCTTTTTATCATTGCAGGTGTGATTCTCTGGTCTGTAAATTTGGTTCTCTGATCTGTGATTTGGACTCTACAAAAATTAATTGAATTGGACTAAGCCAAGGGAAGGATTATAATTGTAATATGTCATTTCTAGAGCATTGGTTTGTTCACATCTCTTCACACAGAGTCAGACACAGCTGTAGTATCGACCACTATCTGTCCTCCTTATGCAAATGCACTCATAGATCTATTTCTCACCACTATCACATTTCAGATCTCCATCTTTCCTGCGCCGATAAAACTGATGTGGATTATTAAGTGCGTGAAGGGAGCCAGGAGCAGGAAACAAGGCCAAAAGGCGGCTTCTATCTGGGAAAATGAGGAGGCAGATGTTTTTATCAGAGCGCCAGCGGTTACACAAGCAGGAAAAGCAGGCGTAATGTGGAGAGAGGGACAGATAAACAGACAGCGAATGAAAGAAGAGCGATAGAGAGGGGAAAAAAAGAGGCGATCAAAAAGAGTGTGCTTCATTTTTTAACCAGGACTGGACTCACACTGTCGATACAGCAATATCAATGTGAAAGACTTGGAAATAGGCATATTAATACAGAAGCACACCACAGTACTTTTAAAAGAACATCAATTCCTTAAAAAAAAATTATAATTTATACACTTGCCTTCAGGTGCAGATACTAGACCTGCGGTTCTCAGCCTTTGGGGCCCATAATCCTGATTATACACACCCAGCCGACTAGAAGAGGCTAATGCATATTGTGCTAATGCAATAGTTAGCTACTAGGTTGTGTGTAATGTCTTTATGGTGGAATAGATTTATATTTTTTGCAGATTTTTGGCTGCAGTTTGTACATATTTGCCAGTGTGTGCACGGCTTTTGACGGCTGCAGCAGCGCTCAGGCTGATATCCACGCACTCGCACATCAGCAGTTGTGAGTTCAGCTGTTAGAGAAGTGTATAAAGTGTGTGGTGAGGGGTTTACAGCCCTTAAACGTGGCTATTTGTGTATTTTGATGTTTGCGGGTTATTTTCAGATGTATCGTATTTGATCTTTAGGTTCTTCTCGGCCTTACCCACTCCTAATTTCAATACAACCCCAATCAACTAATAAAGCAATTGTGTTATTTTGCAATTTTCAAGACGCTCAAGGTGCATATGTGTGTATGCCTGTGTATGTGTGTATATATATGTGTGCATTTTTGTGTGTTCATGTGTGTCTATGTATGCGTGTTCCTGTGTGTATGTGCATGCGTGTGTGTATCTGTATCTGTGTGCGTATGTGTATGTGTGTACCTGTGTGCGTGTGCGTATGTGCCTGTGTGTATCTGCCTGTGAGTGCGGAGAGCCTCACAATTTAAAGGTCTCGTTCCAGACGGGGTTGAGGCAGCACTTGACGGTCTTGGTCTTCTGCTTGGTCTCGCTGCGCGGGTCTGGGATCAGTTTGAGCTTCACGTAAGGGTCCGACAGGCCGTTGGGATCCATGGGCACCAGGTTTCTGGCCTCTTGGACTGTGGGGTGGAAGAAAGAGAGAAAGTGTTAACATGATTGTGGTGCAACAAACTCAAAACATCAGCTGGTGACTAGTTTCATTAAATCTCATAAAAAGTCATGCAAAAATCTCTGCAAGTCCAGGGAAGGTTAAAACAAAAAAACATTTCATTTATTAAATTCTTTGACAAAGCACATGAATGGACGTATGTGAACAAATAGGTGAGGATAAAATAAATATGCCAGATTATGGCTACAAAGCTCATTTTCATCTGCAGTCCAGCCTGTCTGCCAGACACAGACACAAATATAAAACGCATACAGTATGAGGCAAAGATGACATAGAAAATATTATCGCAATTGTTAAAGATGAAGAGTCTTGTGATCACATGACTAAATTAGTTATAATCTAAATATAATCACACAATAAATAAATCAGTTATCAATCTATCAAGTCACAGCCCTAGATATAAACAATAAATTAAATAATATTTCAGAAAAAATAAATATTTGCCATTTGAAAAATATCTGAAAGGTTGACAATTTGCCAAGTAGTTTTTTGAAAAGTCAGATATATTTTTCAGCCTTTCTTGGGAAAATGCTTTCAAATGTCTTGCCAATGACAAAACACATCATTTGTTAAAATTATGTATGCCATTTTTTCCAAAAATAATTAATCAGAGGTAATAATTAGATAAATAAAATAGCAGCCAGCCCTCTCCATATGATATGACTTTATATGAGTTTATCTCCAAGTACGTATTCTGAGGGGGGTATACATTTATTTTCCCTACAAATCATTAAACAGTGCACAAAATGTAAAACTTGCTGAGGGAAGCAAAACAATCTAGATCATTTCCCCTCCTCGTGTATTCGATTTGGGGAAATTGAAAACGGGTTAAAAACCACATTGTAGACCCATTCTGTTGTCACTTGACCTTGGCCATAAATCCATACCAAGCGCTCCTTTCAAAACACCAAAGAACAAACCATAAACATCTATTAAATCATTATTGACAGTCGACCTACACAAGTGACCCTCGCAGTTGTCCGTAATGACCATGTAGACAGATGAAGGTTGCCAGTTCCAACACTAATCCTCCTTTTGTGGCGCTCTGTAATTGTATTCCGGTAGCGTCAAATCCGGCGTGATTGCATTGGGCGTATGTGTGTGTATGTGTGTATGTGTGTATGCGTGAGTAATTACGGCGCTTGGTCAAGTTGTGAGGTCACATTCAATTACCACGCCGAACGGTGGATAGTTGGTTGGCGAGAAGCTGCAAGGAGAAATTTAACAAATATGTACAAATTGGAATGATTAATGGATGTGGTAAATGTTGTCGTGAAGTGGCGGCTTTCGGACACAGAAGAGAAGAGAAGGGCAGAGCTAAAGGACGACAATGTATTCATAGCTTTACTGTAAGTGAAAGCAGTTTCTCCTCGGTTATAAATGGGACACAAACGATCAGTAGTTTTCCTTCTTTTTCCCTCCTGACCACCACCCTCTGGCGGTTCATAGATCCATAGTTACATTTGTAACTTTTGCGGCGAGTGCTTTTCTCTTTTTCTCTGGATTTATTTTATTTATTGATTTATTTTTGTTCTCTTTCTTCATGGTAATGCAACAAAATATCACAATAAACAGCAAATACAGCAGTAATACAATCCATGAAAGGAAGAACACAGGAGTAGGATGAAGAAAAAAAATACTTATAAACTCCTACCCCATTCTTATAGAAAGATATGTACAAAATAGATGGCCCAATTTACAAAACTTCATACTAATTTGTAAAGTTTGTAGGTATTTCGTAAAAGGGAACTCCCAGGACCCCAAAAACATTACTAATTTTCTCTCATGTGCATGTTTGAAATAAATAAATCTGATCAAATGTCTTATTATGTCTTTGTTCAATCCTGAATCCTAAATGGGCGACAGCGGCTCAGTTGGTTGAGCTTTGGCCTTTGAGCATGAGGGTTGTGGGTTTGAGTCCACCACGAGACCTTCTTCATAGACTCCCACTGATGTCTGCTGTTGTTGTGCAAGACACTTAACCTCACTTGCCCCACTTTGCCTGAAGCCCCCGCTGAAAGATCAGAGAGGGGCTGGTGCTTTGTGAACTGGACAGAACTGGACCAAGAAATGGACCAAAAATGGAAGAAAATGGATAGATCAAACCTAAACAGATTTTGAAACATTTCCCCAATCACAAATCCTTAGTTTCAGTCAGCACTCTTCAGTTCATTTCGTAGTTTTTGGTCTCACACATAGTAATATATCTTGTGACAAATATCCATTATAACATACTCCATCATAACTTATATCATTCACAAGTTTTCTTTTCCAAGTTAATTTCACCACTTAATAGAAATTATCTCACCCGTTTATATATTCATTCATATATTGTCACAGCTGAAAATATACAGAATTGTAAAGCATCATTTATGAACTAAAAAGAAGGGTATAGATTTTGGTCCTGTAGGGAAGTTTGTCATTTGCATTTGACCCAACCCTCAATACCTCTAGGACATGCATTGGGAGAACTTTTCCTCCTGAGGGCCACATTGAAGAGCCAGCTGTCGAAGTACCAAACTCATTTCCAATATTAGTTTGGAAGAGAGAGTTTTAATACCTTGAATATATTATGAGTAGTTTTATAATTTAGCAAGTTCTCTAGTATCATTGTTTTGAAGAAAAAGCTAAAGGGGAGAATAACCCCAAGTGCTCTTTACTGGTGTGAAATACAAACACAATACTTTCCTCAAACTTCAATATAATAATTTAAATATGGCATTATTGTGAGTGATACAATATTTATAATGCTTTTACATCAAGTGCTTTCAAACCTTAATCTAATTTTACTGAAATAAAATCCATCTCACTAGTTCCTCGCTCTCAAAACTGTTTCAAAACTGTTCCATTGCAGGTTTTTACATCTTGAATCTCGAGTTGAATCTTTAGATCAGCTTTGTCAGACAGAAACGTGAAAAGGAGCGGACCACCCTCAACCAGCTCTCAGCCCAAAGTGTCAAATAGTGACTCACAGGGCTCTTGCAAGTCTGCGAAAGAGTTGTGGTGTAATCTTGCTGTTGGGTAAAACATTCATCATTTATGAAAAAAGTTGGGAACAGCAGCTTTAATGAATTACCACTTCATCATGTTATTGAACTCCAAAAACATAGGAGTAGTAATGTTTTTTTCTTTTTAAAACAGGATACAAAAAGGTACACCACAAAACACACTTTGACAAGGGGTTTGGAGGAATCAGCAAACAACACACACACGTGCATACACACGCACACTCACACACACGCGCACACACACACACACACAGGTGAGGACATCACTATTTCCCCTAGTACTTTAGTACCTATCATACTTTTATGTTTTAATTTCAACTGAATCATATTTGAACACGTTTTTAATTCATCTGGTAAGTTGTTCTCCTCGTCCAGAGACACACAATGATTTTATGTAGCTACAGTAGGCACCTGAAACTCTGGCCCGCGGTCCAAATTTGGCCCACAAGACCATCTTTAGTGGCCCCCGATATGATTTTCACCTATCATTATCACAGTAACTTACAGCATTGATGGTAATGGGATACTATGGCATGTTATACTTCATTTCAAAGATTATAGTCTCAGGAAAACAACCATATAACTTAATATATTCTAAAATGTTAGCTAATATGTAATCCGAAGTTAGTTATTTCATCTTTCTTTTAATTTATTTTTTAATATTTAACTATCAGCCTTCACTATATCTTGACATTTGGCCCAGTTCTGGTTGAATCCAAACCTACTAGAAAAATAATGTCCAAACTCGTGTTTTGGACGCCACGCTTATACTCCGGGCCCCAACCAGATCTTCTTATGTTTAAATTTGGCCGCAGACCAAAATGAGTTTGACACTTCTGAGTTACATGTTCAGGACACATACATTTTTACACAAACATTAGCGAGACATGGATTTCTTGTCAATACGTCTCACCCCTCACCCCTACGCCTCGCTGCTGGATTACGACCACACCGCGGCTAAACGCCACTGAAACTCCTGCCACACGGATACTAAATAATCCATAGCTTTCACCTGCTAAAACACAATATATTCGTTAAACTGCTCGGCTACACCGCTCACCGGGAGGTTAACCGCAGCCCAGAGCCACAGACCTGCACAACACCATCAGTGCAGCGGCTCGATAAATATTACATGACTCCTGTTAAAGTGACCATCAAATGCAGCTTGAGTTGGAGCTATAGAGAGGGTAGCATGCCAAATAGTCTCAAAGGACAGCAGCCAAGACAAAGTGTGCGAGTTTTTTTTCCCCCTTCTTGCGCGGGCCTTTCTGGTGCGAACGTTCCCCTCTGTCGGCATGCGGTACGTGCTGATTGTGCGTGTGCGAGCCGGAGAATGGAAGATAACGAGTGTGTTTAAGTCTACAGGGAGGGGAGCGGCAGAAGAGTGCATGTGCAAGCTTCGGCGTGGGCGTGGGCACAGAAGCTAGACTCATGTGGAAGCCTGGGTTGTAATGGGTGCACTGCAAAAAAACGATAAACTATGAGGAAGTAAACAAACGCTCAAATCAACTGGTTTTTTATCTTAATTTGAGTTCACTCTGATGATTTGACAAGATAGACAACGCCATTTTAGTCGTATTTCAAGAACCGTTTTATTTTCTCAATCCAAGGGAGACTTTTTAATGTTTTTTTGTGTTTATTTATTATTTAGTGTATTAATTTAACCCTTTAACGTTCACTCTTCCTATGTATTTTTCCTTTTGTCTGATTTTGTAAGAATATCACAAATCATTTATTTGAATGTTTTACAGATACAGATTGATGGTGAAACAGAGGTAGATTTCAGATCCAAGCATCAGGTAGATATAGTGACTCAAAAATGGTTGACTAAATGATTGAGCGAACCATTAAAGGGTTAAAGTGACAGGGACAGTGTACAATAAACATTCACCTCAAAGGGAGAGATGCATTGTACCAGGCAATAGCTCAAGAGCTAATTTCC